GGATAAGACGTGGTCGATGATAACTAGGCCCGAGCCTAAAAAAGATCAGAATAAAAGAAGAAGACTTGAGAATAGCAATGAGATGTGTGACATGGACAAGACCGTAGAAGAGATGCACAATGATGGATTTGATGTTGTATTCTACTACATTAAAGAGAATATAAAAACTACTGAGTTTGTGTTTGCACAGTTTAACCCTATTGATGCAGAGACAATTAATGCTGCATATAGAGAAAACGAAGCAGAAGCAAAGAAGTTGTTTGATGGGTATGTGCCAAATAATGATGTTCCACGAATCCCACTCTTTCTACCTAGACTAATGACCTCTGCAGTGCATTTTGGTCCATATGTTCTAAAGTCAGAAAAATATAAAATTATTCCCAACAAAGACTACCAAAACCCAATTGCCATCGAATTTTCCAATTGGCTGGATGTTTTAGTAAAAGAAAAGATCTAAAACTTACAACTATAGAACTACTTAAAAATTTTAGACATGAAATATACTATTACAGCGATTTCTACATACTAGGTCTAAACACTCCATACGAAGACTGTGGCTGCTACAGCATGAAAGTTGATCAAACAAAATTCAAAGATCATAGTATAAAACTCACATGGAATGTAAAAAAGCAACTTGGCATAGAAGAGTACACTAACTATTTATTTGATATAACCCGAACGTCGTCTTTGATAAATAGCAAAGATCTAAATCAGAAAAAAATTACTGATTTATCTCTATTCTTAAAAATGCTTCAAAGAAAGCACGTGTCACATGACATGCTTCGTTATGGGATATGCATTTATCGTAAGGGCACCACAAATCCATGTTTTACAGTAGTTCCTTTATTATGCCCAGAAATGAAAACCCATATGAATGACTTATTCTGTGAAGACCATGAAATGCATCACATGCTTAGTCCATCATTAAAAGAAAACATTGAAGGTTTAAAGGAAAATCATGGCATAAATATTTCAGATATTTTAAATGTTTCTAAACTATACATAACCATTAAGGATGTTAATTATACAAAGTCTAAGCTTGGTTTACACTATACTATAATGAACTCGATCTTTTAGTACGTATGATTGAATACACGATATATGTGATTAAATGTTAATCATATGCCTTTACTATTTAAGTAGTTATAAAAATAACACCAACTAATAAAGATCTATTTCTAACGAGTATAAGCATTTGTCGTATCTTCTATTTCAGGATAAATTAAATTTGTTTTTATCCCAGGCCAGAATTACAAGTCGGAGTCAGAACATATATGTTTTTGTATGCTAAGAATAGCATTTGTTAGCATGGCATGAGTTATTGTAATGTTTTACATAAACATGACAGCTCAGACTAAATCAGAAATTATTGTTTACACGACAAGTCAACATAAGTTAAATTGATTTTATGGTCTATAAATACGTATACAAATTCAATAAAAGTCAAAGTTTAAGAATGCCTTTTCCTAAGAAAACAACTTATGTTAAGAATGAAAACAATAAATAACCAATTAAATAATACCATTAACAAGCACGGCTGTTCTAGAGGCTTAGTGGAGTATTATATAGAAACTTCACAGTTGCCACGTACTGGGCACAATAGTATTAATAATTTAAATAAATTTTACATTTAGTTTATTCCTGCTATAATAATAAATAATCCTTTCATTTTTATATTTAAATAGAATTATATACATGTTTATTTTTTATTTTACAGCTATAAGAGAAACCATTAGTAATAAGATACACATAGACTATTACCAAGAAAGCGTATATGAAGATAAAATACCTGTTTAGACCAAACATTAAATTATACTAGAATGGGATGGTTTAAAGCACTAGGAACAAATTAGATACACCTAGAAATGGCAATGTAAACATCCAAATATAAGAAACAAGAACGTTAGATACAGATCAAACTCTAATAATAGTTGATTTCTTAAAGCTACTTGATATATTATTGAAAAGAATGCTAGAACAAATTTAAAAAGCAAAAAGGTTTATAAATATGAGTTGTATCTTTAATAAAGGTTAAAAGTTGAGCAAAAATGAACAATTCAAAGAAACTAAATAGAAATATAAAGAAAATTCAATGCATATGTAAAGAACTCAACAATTCTCATGTAAGTGTAAGTGTAAAGAATAATAGTATACTTGAATATAACCCGAAGCACAAACTAGAAAAAGGTGGGTATTTCTCTAGTAACTATTAAATATAAAAATAAAAAATAGTTCCAGAAAATTAAGCCAAGACAAAATTCTATTAAATAACTATTAATATAGTTGAAATTCGGGTAGCCTATAGGATATTTTTAGTTTAGAAATATGTGACTAATTTGCATATACTATAAATCATCATGCATTATGAATAAATACTATATGATTGGTTTACAATTGCTCTTAAGTCGGCCCACTTATAAAAATCTGCAATTATTAGAACATGCAAGAATATTATAAGCAGAGCAACTGCATAGTATACCCAAAAGAATATGTGCTGATTTTTTGTCTTTGGTCAAGCTATGTGGAGTATGCCCACTTTGGATATATACTTTTTATTGGACAGAAATAGCATGTAAAATATTCCTATAAGTATGCTCAGAGCTTTCCACCCAATTCCTATCCACAGAAGAATAACTATATTCTCGTCTTGTCTTAAACCTGGAATTTCGCTGTATACAAGCGGAATAACAATCATAAAGAAGACAGCACCAAAGTGCATATGTATTGGTACGCAGATAGCAGCGACATGCACCTGGTCAATTATAATGTGTCTGTAAATCATATAGAACCCCATTGAGCATGCGCAAATGAGAATTAAAATCCATGGATATACTAAATTAATAAATATTCTAAATATATGAGTACTTGCAAATTCAAGATTCTTTTTAAGCATGCTATCTGGCATAACACAGAAATTACTTCTCCATATAATAAATGCACAGAAAGTTGTGACTACATAATCAAATGGTATGAAGATGGTTCTATAGAAGGAAACTAGCAGTGTAAGAAGTTTCTGCATTGTACTGAGAGTCTCAGAGTCGTTTGAATTTTGTGCATTCGGGCTATCATCCGGGGATGGATCTGGTACTTCTTTATTTTGAGATATGCTGGATAGCTCATCTACTTCGGGCTGTGCAATTGGAGCATTTGTTATAAATGAAGTGGTATTTTCTTCTATTGTATTATTTTCTAGATTTGTTATTTTAAATTTTACTAATGTAATTTTTTTGTGCTCTTGGTCCATTCTTCTGTAATCGAATTTAAATATATTTGAATTTCTATTTGTGCTTTATTGCTACTTAAAATCAAATTAAAAAAGTTTAGTTAATTAAAGTCATTATTTTAGAAAGAAATCTATGCCCATAAAGAAATTCAAGAAATTGTGCAGGTTGGTTTCTGTTGTATACTAAGACTAATATTACTATCGCAATACATGAGTTATCTGAATGTTCACATAAACATGACAGTATAAATTAAATCAGAAATGTTTGGTGACACAACATGTCAACATAAATTAAATTGACCATACGTCTATAAATACGTATATAAATTAAATAAACATTAAAGTACCATAATGACTTTTTCTAAGAAATCAACTGTTTCTATTATATAATAACCCGAATAACCCAATAGAAGCACATGTCCATCTATGCAAGCTTATATAGAGCTGTTATACACGGGTATTTAAAGCTATATAACCCGAATAACCCAAAAGTTTGAATGGGTTCATTTAATGTAACAGAAAATAAACAATTGTACGTGTTTAATTTTAGAGAATATTAACATACTAGTGCAGTAGAACATGGTGGATTATGTCAAATACACAATTAATTTTCAAGTTATACCTTGGATTGTTTTGAGTTATATGTGCCGGCCAAGATATTCTAAGTAGTTATAGGCGATTAATTCGGGTTGTATGCAATAGATTCGGGTTATATCAGAGTATTTTATGGCCTAGTTTAAATTAAAGTACTATTTTTGTGTTCTGTGCTAGTTTGAGGCGTTTTAGTAGTTCTTATAATAATGCTCTTTTTCCTATAATTTCTCAGTATATACAATAGAAGAAGGCATGCATTTTTATTTTTTTACTCGGCTGCTTTTACTTTTGTGAGTTATACGTATTTTTCATTTGGCGAAGTGTATGGATAATTTCCGTTGGAGACTTTCCAGAGAACTCCTTGTTCTTCTCTACCAAACTGGTGTTCATGTAAAAATTGTGTTTCCTTTCCTCCCCCACGGTTAAAAAGATTCTTTCAGATGAGCATAGGCCTTCTGGGTCAGGAATAAGCATTCTTCTAAATTGCAGATTGCTCTCTTTATACTCATGGCCGTAGTATACAATAGTATCTGAGGGCAGGCCTGAAATTTTCTTCAGTGCGCTGTGCATCATTTCTGCTGTGCCTTCAAAGAAGATCCGCAGCCCAGATAAAAAAGAGTGTCACCCACAAACACAGCAGCACTTTCCTTACTGGTTGTATCATAGACTGTGTATGCAAAGCTGTCCTGGGTGTGGCATGGAATGTGCATGCACTCTATGCGCAGTGCGCCAATTGATATGACATCACTATCCTTACAGATATGCGTTGCAAATGACTGGTGAGAGCCTGCATATATAGCTGCGGTAGGGTGCATTCTTTTTATTTTTGCATTCCCTGCAGAGTGGTCTTCGTGGTGGTGCGTTGTGAGTACTGCTATTTTTGTCTCTGGTGCGGCCAGAAATTGCTCGGCTTCTTTTTCTATTTTCATTGGCTCAACTGGGTCGACAAAAACAAGCTCATTCTGTGGACCAACTATTATATACATTAAGTTTGTTTCTCTTGCACCAATTGGAATAATCTGCATACACTAGCAAAAGTTTTCTCCTTTTACCCCTATGAATCGCAAGATTATTGAAGTAAAACAGTTACGAGGAGACTGCAAAGTGGTGGAGGCAGCCCCAGACCAGGTTGTGTACATTGCGGACATTGTAGAATCGCAGGTGATAATAAAGGGGTCATGCATGAAAGTAGTCGCAATCGATGTTCACAAGAGCATGATTGTAATTAAGAAGGCCATGACAACAGTGGAAATAGCCCGGGCAAAAAGCTCGCTGTTTGTTGTGGGGGGCAGCCCGCTCACGTCTCTTGAGCAGTGTATAGAGTGCCGCATGGGCACAGTGGAGAGTCCTACAGAGATACGCATGCGGCGGTGTATGTCGATTTCTCTGGTATATCTGAAGGGGGTGGACACAGACAAAGAAACCGTTAGTCTCTTGATGGAATGTGCCAGAGCGCAGAAGAGCAGCACCTTCCAGACGAGATACAGACGGTTGTAGAGAACGGGGTGGCTCAAAGCAATATAATAAAAAATGGATAGGGCAATAGGTACAGGTAGCCAAAAATAAAATATTTTTATTCATTATTTTTTTAGTTTAAAACAGTTTATTGATATAAGGTCTGAAGGATCTCGAGCAGATGGTTATCTGGCACCATTCATCGCTTATATAATGAAAGCACGGCAGGGCCGTGTATAGAATCTGTCTAGCTGTTTTTGAGCAAATAGGCCTTAAAGGATATTTTCAATTTGAAGGGGCCGGTTTACGTATGTGTTGTTCTTGTGCAGGCGAGGCCCAAGCTTTATTTTGGTTCTTGGCCGCTTTGTTTTATTTTCAGTAGTTTTATTTTTCTCTATGGCACTAGGTAGTATGGTTCCTACTGCGAGTGGCACTGTAGGTAGCACTGGTGATGCTGAGATCGCAGGTGTTTCAACTGTAGTAGGTATTTCAGATGTAGTGGGTACAGAAGGTGAGGATGATACTTTAGGTGTAGTAGGTGTTTCAGATGTGGTGGGTATTTCAGATGTAGTGAGTACAGAAGGTGAAGATGATACTTTAGGTGTAGTAGGTGTTTCAGATGTAGTGGGTATAGAAGATGAAGATGATACTTTAGGTGTAGTAGGTATTTTAACTGTAGTAGGTATTTCAGATGTAGTGGGTACAGAAGGTGAGGATGATATTTCAGGCGAAGTTAGAGGATCTGTTTCTGTTTCCTCGCAGGTAAATAGAGGCTTTATTTTTTCTTCTGGTGTAAGTTCCCCTGACATAGTTATTTTGAAAATATCATCCAGATCATTAATATCAAAATATTCTGTGGATGGGATTTCATCTGTAGTATTACAAGAGGTTTCTAGAATGGCTGGATTTGTTTCAGTAGGTGTAGTAGATAAATTTTCTTCTGCACCAGTGTATTCTTCTGGCAATGATTCCTCTGCTGTGTTAATAGATTCATCTATAGTAGATAAAGTAGGTATAAATGTTTCTGTGCCAACAAAAGACTTTTCTGTGGCAGGAGTTTCATCTACTGCTTTTTCTGTTATAGTAATAGATTCATCTATAGCCGGCACAGTCGGTATAATTGTTTCTGCAGTAGATATAACTTCTTCTGTTGTAGTGGGCTCTTCTGGAATAGAAGGCAGAGAACTTTTAGAAATACTATTATTAGAAGCCACAGTGGGGGCAAGAGTTTCCTCGGATGTAGTCTCTAATATGGAAACATTCTCGGTTTTTAGAGTAGAAGTGATTTCAGTAGGCCGAATGCGCTCTTGTTCCTCTGTTGTTGGTTCTTCTGTTGCTTCTGACAAGCTCATTTGACATTCCTGTGACTCATCCATAAGCTTATCACTTCTCTGATACATATACGTGTTAAGCAAGCGAAGAGAGTTAATTGCTTTATCAAGAGAGCGAATGGATGAATCTATACCGCCCGAATCTGTTTCAGATAGAACGAAAGGCAAATCTTCGGCTAGGGGCATGTGCTGTTTTGCATCTTGCAGAGTGTTGATTACTGCTTGGAGCGGCTGTTTGAGCGCCTCCTCCAGGTGTGCAACTGTTTCTGAGAAAGACGCACGTTCTCTTTCCTTTGATTCTCTTGCCAATAGAATAGCCTTTTCTGTATCATTCAATAGCTGTGCAGTGAATTTTATACTGTCTGAAAGACCTTGTATGTCTTTTATTTGCTGCTGAACTGTATTCTCCTGCTTTTGTATATCACTCTTTAAAGAAGGCTGTTTTTCACACTTTTCCAAGCTTTTTTGTAGCTCGCTCTTCTCCTTAGAGTCCTCAGCACATATATCCTTAACAGAGAGCGAGCATAGTGCCTTTTCATGCGGGCTGTTTGTTTTTTTTGCAGCATCGCATATAGCAGTAGTCACTGTATGTGCCAATGGTTGCTTGTTGCTGGATTTGCCAGAAGATTTCTTGCCTTTTTTGCTGGCTGCATCCATAGATATTTCTACACGGCACATCTTCTTTATTGCACCTTCTAGTTTTGGATAGTTCTTTATTTTTGACAAGGCTTCATCGGTGCGCTTCTCAGATGTGTTTCTTTGTTTTTTTAGCGCAGCAGCTTTATCCTCCATACCTTTCAGAAGCTGCTTTATTTCCTGTGTGCTCTTTTTTATGTCTGCACTGACCAGCTCAGTTTTTTTCGTCCCTTTTTTGTTTTTTCCTCTTGCTGTAATTTCACCTGTGCCGAGTAGAGTGTTTATACTAGACCATTCCTGCTCATTTTTCTTTTTTAAATCACCTATAGCCCCTTTTCTTGCTTTTTCTTGTTCTTTCTGCTGTTCAATCTGCTTTTTGAGGCTCTGCACAGTTTTGTCAAAAGCCGCAATGTCTTTGTCAAGTGCACTGGCTGTGTTTTCCATCTCTGATGCACTGTTTGTTAAATCTGCAGTGTCTTTGCTTATTTTGGAGAGTGCTGCATCCTGAGCAGCCGCTTCTTTTTCTAGCTCTGTAATTCTCTTCTCCATTGCGCTGTTTTTTTCACTTGTCTTTTTTATTTCTTCTACTGCCTCTTTTATCTTCTCTGATACCCTTTTTTGCGCAGAGGGCTGGAATAGAAGGCTGCTTTCTGGGTGCAGAAGGCTTTCAGGACCAGCTGTGGAGTTTAGGGATATCTGCAGCTCGCTTGCTGCCAGCCCCCTTTTCAGCCACTCAATAGTCTCTGCTTTCTTCTCTGCAGGCATTCTGTTTATTGCCCCAATTATATTATTGTCAAAGTCGCGCAGCAGATTATGGCTCTCGTTGTATACATACGGCTGCGGTTTATTCTGAGCACTCTCACTATCTGTACCTCTGTTAATGGTAGAGCTTCCTTTACTCGAGCTATCTAATATAGTTCCTATGGGCTTTCCTGTGCTGGTGTCTAGTTCTGATGTATTATATTTTCTGGCCTGGTTTGCTATTTCATTGTTTAGGTAGTTGGTGAAAAGGCACTTGCTTTGTGCTCCTTCTAGTGACTTATATCTTTTTATTCCGCCGCTTTCCAGCAAATCAATAAACCACATGATGCCCTTCTTCACATTCTGCATAAATTGCACTTCTATAGAAAGTGCGCGAAGACCCTTATTGAGCACAGCTTTTGCAGCCTTTTCATACTCGCTCTTTAACGCCTGCTTCACAGAATTTGTTGTTCCCTTCTTATGCTTCGCTAATAGATTCTCTAAAAACGCCTTCTCTCTGTTAAACAGCCCGTTAACAGTGCCTGTCATGCTATAATACTTCTGCGCGCTGTCTACCAGTACGTTCTTTATTGCTGCAAGCTGCTCAAGTGTGGCGGTCTCTGGGGATAGCTTGCTGATAAGGTGAGTAGTGTGGCAGCATCTGTATTTACTTCTCTTTCTAGCCTCTGTGCACTCTTGCCCAATTCTTGGTCGCTATTTAACTCTTCTTCTATATATACATGCATAATGTTTCTAACATGCTTTGATAGAGAGCTTATTTGGTTTACGCCATTTGCTGCCAGATACTTAAAAAGGTGTGCATTCTGTGCTTTTTTAAAGAGAATCTTTTCCTCTATTTCAGACTGCTTGCAACCAGCACTGCCTTTTCCTTTCTTGGTATTGCCTTTGTTCTGCGCGCATTTGCACGGGGTGCTCTGAAAGGCCTCTTCCATAAGCCACTCCAGCTCCCAGACAAGATTTTTTATTTCAAGCAGCCTATATGTCTGCATGGCTTTAAGCATGCTGTGATGGTTAACCACACCAGAAGTAGAGATGAGCAATTCAATGTTTTTCATATGCCTGTTCATGCTAATTTTTCCTTTTCTATAAGAGCCAAAAGCCCGTCTGCATCGCCGTACCCAACTGATGCCTTCTTTACAAAGTCTCTTAGTCTGGAAGGAAGCATCTTTATTTTTAACTGTATGCTGGTGCACCCGCTCTCTACCAGGCCATCTGCCACTATCCGCGAGAGCAAAGAGTGCATCGGGCCTGAGGTTATGAAAGCCCGGGCCACTGTGTTGTGCTCAGGCAACTCTTCTGTCTGTGAGCAGCTGCCAGGCATCGGGAATTTTCTGGGGTGTTCTTGGTGCACTCCCTGTGCATCAAATGGGTCAACAGAGCTGAGTAGCAAAGACAAAGGCGTGCCCAGCTCAAAGCTCATTTGTCCCTTTGTGCCAAACATAAAGTATGGAAACATTTCCTTGTGGGGGTGTTCGCGCTCTCTTTTCTCTCTGGTCTTAATATCACCATCTGCAATTATTTCTTCCATCCCCAGCACAGAAGGTATGGTTCTGTCTGTTTCTTCTGCCACTGGCATATTCCCTGCAGAATATGGAATGTCTGTGCTTGCTATAGGCATGTCAGCTCGGCGCATAATTTGTGCACTGTTTGGATCAGTGTTTATATTGTTCATAGACAGCCCGCTTGCCACAGAAAGGGCAAGCACGCTCTTTGATAATATCTGGTCAATCTTCATAAATATTTTTATTTTGTTGTATATTTAGCACTTACTTCCATCTTGCATCAATCGCCTTAAAAAATCAGACTTGCCATCTTATAGCAATAGTAATAAAAAATATATAGTCCCAAATAACACTGCACTAAAAACAAAACAATCTGACAAATACCCAGAAATTACATTTGAGCTATAACCCGGAGATAGTAGGCGTAATACACCTACGCCATAAACAGCTCTAGCATGCAGCCGGCCTTATAGACTCTGTTAGGCTTAATTCCATTTTTCATGTTCGGGTTATTTCTAGCTACTTAGAGTATTTTGGTTCTAAGCTAGTTAATTGGCTGTGCTGTAATTAAATTCTGTTTTTAAAAACAGCAAAAATATAAAAATGCAGAAAAAGCTGATATAATAGATTTTAATTCTAAAATAAACATGCATGCACAAGAAGGCCTAGATGCACATAATAATATATGCAGTCAGAAATGCAGCAAGAAAACAAATGATTTAGATAAGAATGTGAGCACAGATGACCGAGGCAACTATGAAGGCAGTTTTAATAATGTAGACAGTGTTATAACCATAGACAATCCAGCCACTGTTGAAGTTCAAGGCCGCCAAGGGGATGTAGAAGAGTGTGCGAGCAGTCTATACGAGCAGGTGTTTAGCAAACTAGACACAGAGGAAAGAGCAGGCAGACTTGTTTGCTTTATAGAGAAGGCCAAGTATTTCTACAAGCACTTTGTTATTCCAGCAGACTTTATCTTCTCTCTTATATACTGTCTCTTTATGACTATTGCACTAATAAGATTTATAGCACGGCATGGTGGTGTTTCAGCCATTTATCTGTTCATGCCCAGATATATGAACTATGCAGTGGTATGCATAGTGTCTGCTGGCATTGCATTATATGTATACAGTCTGTTCCAATACAGCACTCACATGGGAATAAACAGCAAGCAGGCACTGCGCAGTTATAAAAAAAGAATTGAGGTATACTTCTACATCCTTGTAGTGCATTTACTACTTTATGTCATGGCAAGTATATTTTTGTCTACTTTTATTTGCGTGCATGTCTTCTCTGCTGCCTTTATTATGCTAAAGTTCTTTTTTCTTTTACTGGGAGTAGGAGACTACTGGTTTGCGCCATACCCACAGCAACCAAGAGTACCCTTTTTCAATCCCTTTACAACTGTCCGGGGCATACTCTATTTTGCTGCGTATTATACGCACAACATTGTTCTGTGCATTGTGAGCGGGTTGATTCTGTGCAAAGTGGAAACAATAATCGGCGATGATAGCTTCTGTCTTTGCTATTGCATATAACCCGAATACAATCAATTATTATATAATACCAGACTGTGTAAAATTCAGAATTAATACGTGCTGGTGTGTATTAGGCTATATTTAAGGTATGCTAAAGTGCAATTGTAGTATATTCAGTCTGCAGTTTGCTGTCTGTTTATTCGGGGTATATATCTGAATTTATATACTACTGCACTGAATCAAATTTGTTTTTATATTTACTGAATATGGAAAATACAGGTAGGCTGGTTTATATACCAATAAAACAGAAGTGGTATGGAGGGATACTCTAAAGAAGAGGCTGATCGCCTGCTAAGAGTAGAGCTAGACAAGATTGTGACAACAAAGATATACAAGCTGGAAGGCGATGAAAGGGTATATGTAATGCAGCAGAGGCTGTTTGAGATTCTAGACAGTGCAAAAAACACGGCCGAGGAGGTTGACATGGCTGTGCGGCAGTGTGTGGTGTACTTTATAAGATCACTCAGCAAAAAAAAGATCCTTGAGCTGAAGATACCAGAGGGCCAGAAAAGCTCTTTAGTGTGGGTGCTTAATAATGCATATCCAATGGACAGCACGCGGAAAAGCTACAGTATGTTTTTGCCGCTGGTGAAGATGTACAAAAACCGGGTGGAGAGTGACAGCATGGGAAGGTGTGTGAAGGACATGATACCTGACGAGTTTGCAGACCTGGTGTTGGATGAGCTTATATTTTGGGCCAACGTGCACAGCTATGCGCAGAGCCTTCCACCGGTTGAAAGGATTGTAGAGCTGAAAGAGGACATCTCATGCACAAAGCTGCTAGAGGTTGCACTGGACACAGTGAAAGTGTATGAGTACAAGTTGGCCCAGATACAGCGGCTTGTCCCCATGCTGATACCGCGGTGCAAGAAAATATCATTCCACCACATACATGAGGACTCCGCAGATACTATTGCTGCAAAGATAGAGAAAAGCAGTCTTCCTCTGAGCCAGATGATAGACCGGTCTATCAAAAGAGTGCTTGAGAGCCTGAAGAATCCAGAGTGGGATCCGTATGCGTGCAAGGATGTAAAGTTTTTGAAGGGCATCCTTGATAGGTGGAATGGGCCCAGCAAGGCGTGCTACAACCTGCCGCTTGAGTACTACAGAGAGATTCTGACTGCGTATGCGGCAAAAGACGAGCACATGATATACAGCAAGCTATCCGAGTACAGCAGCTATATCAGAACTCTGCGGTATGTAAGCATGCCGCTTTCTAAGTGTGTGTCAAAGAAAACTGCATATATGGATGGAGACCTGCATGGAAGAGACTTGTTCCTGCAGGCATACATGCGCATGCCCAATGACATGGACCCTATCCCGCTAGAACTTATTCCGCGGGCGTCCACAGCTAAATGCCTCACAAAGACCCAGCTGGTGTTTAATCTGATTACTTCTACAGTCCTTGAGCTGTCTTGCGTGTTCTTTTTGTTTGCCTCGTCTGCAATGCTGCTGGATGTTTCTGGAGACACGTCAGTGAACTTCCATGGGTTTACTGTGTGGGGGTGGAAAGACACTCTGGCATTCCTTGGGTGGCGAGGACTGTGCCTGGGGATATACACGATGTGTTTGTATATAGCGCACAAGCAAATTGACCGGTGGTTTGGGCTGCTGGGCATGGACTCCATAGAGAGAATAAAGCTCTTCTTCTTAGTTGGTGTGATTATTGCATCCACAGCTGCAGGGTATGCAGTTGCTGTGTTCGCACCTGGTATTATGACAAGTCCTTCAAGCATTATTGTTCTGTACACAATGGGTGCGGTGCTTAAAATATCTAACTTAATTGACATAGTAGTGCGGAGAACAACCTACAAAACACGCGAAGTGATATCAAGCACTTGGCCAACCACAGTGGCTTCTATACTGATATTCCTGGCTATTTTCTTTATTATGCATATTAAAAGCATAACACAGACAGTGTCACCAGCAATTTAGTGGTGGTAGACACAGTATGCATGCAGATAAGGCGCCTGGCGTTGGTTATAAATCACACCAACTTCTCTGCGCATGCACTTCAGGTTATTACGCAATAAACTTTTGTTCTTTTGTTTCTGAAGTATTCTGGCTGTTTATGTATTTGTTCTTTGTTAGACAGAAGAAGAAGAAAATAAGAGCACACACAAGCCGGGCTAGATATAGTTTAACATCACCTGAAAGTAACTGAAATTAAATAGAGCCGAATGAAGAGTGAATATAGAAGACAATAGATGGCATTTGATGTGTTTTCAAAAACCCACTGTAAAAGTGTATAAGAGGCAGAAGGTTTTTGTCGTTGGTGTCTTAATACCATATTTAATATTTATTATCGCATTGTCATATATAGTGCTCTACAGTGTGAATCTCATGTAAATAGCAAAAGATAGTACTTTAAATCTATCTGCCTAAATAATTTCACTCTTTTCTTCTTTTGTGAAAGTATTTGTATTTATTTACTATAATAGCCCGAAAGTGCACCACAGATATAGCTAATTTTAAAAGTGCATTTCGGGTTATATCGGGCTACTTCATTTAAGACAGCTGTGCATTATCTAAAAGATATGTCGCACAACTATCTCTCCCATGCACTGAGATTTGTGGTTGTGCCTGAACAGTAGAAATAATACGAGTACAATCAGATGTAGAAATACTCCTGCCCAGAGCGGGTTCTTTCCCTCCATCAGATCTGGAAAAACTGTCATTTTGCCGCGAAAGTATCCATCCCCGCGCCCCGTTGCTAACTCTGCCCACAGCGGCACAGAGCGTATGTACCAAGACAGGCCAGTGCTAAAGCCAGCAGAGAATAAACACGGACAAATGCACTCACCATCCACCAGAGTATAATACCATAGAGTGCGTTTGGCCTTTACTACAGGAATGTGGTCTGGGTTAGTAAAGCGCATGGCACATCCCTTTTGCTTTGGCCCCCAGGTAAGGCTAGTAAATGGGCTGGGGGCTGTCTTGTCTGCCCCGACATATGTGGCCAGTATTCCCAAATACTCCTTGGTGAGGGCATCTGGTTCTTCCTTCTCCTCAATTGCGCGCAGCAGCCACTGCTGGGTTATCATGTAGTACCTGCCGCGGGGCTCTTTCAGCGCCTTTGTGCATAGTGCTTGCACATTCTTCCTGTACGCATCTATTGCGCTTTTTAAGTTGTGATATGAGCACAGCGTGGTTTCTCTGAACGTGTACCACAACTTTTCGTTGAATAGGCCCTGGTACAGCCATACGATGTCAGTCAGCAATGGCAGACTTGTCCACTTCCCCACAATCCACTTCAGCTGGAAGGCACTCCGAACATGCACAAAGGACATCTGAGTGCCCGGCGGTGTGCGGGTTGCATCTATGCACTGCTTCCGGAGGTCCAGGAGAAACTCATTTGCGCTGGAGAAGGACGCTGGGAAGTGCCTCAGCTCTGAATCAGGTATCTCTGGCACGGATATCTCCCGTCCTTCGCAGGAAAACCTTGCCTGCACTTCATCAAGCAGCCTTATCCAGTACTTTTTCTCTCGCACCAGAATTCTGCACAGCTTCAGAATGCACATCTGCCGAAGAATGTCCAGCTGCGTGCACAGCGCACTCTCCTGCTTGTCCCGTATGGAAATGTATACATTTGTCCACCGAGTCAGCTTCTTCTCTATAACCCGAAAGAAGTACTTCTTCAGCTGCTCTAGCTGCTTTTTCTTTTTTAGGAACGCAAGCAGACTGTGGCTCTCATGGATTGTAAAAAGGATGCACGGAAGAGTATTATTTATCGCATACTTCTGCGCGAGGTAGCAGTCATAATCGTGCATCTGCGGTACAAAAAGGCCTTCATGCAGCCAGTAGTGATTTGCAAAGAAAAAGGCTGCATCCTGAACCGTGTCCTGCCGCGGATCTGGGCCCTGCAGAATTGTGCAGACACGCTCCATCATGCGCCTCTCCTCTCCATTCATTTCAGCCAGCGGCTTGAAGCGAGAGACTGTTTCATGGCTATGCACTTTTTTCTCTACGCAGCGCATTGAAGACTAAAATTTTCATGTCTTTAGTCTTCTCTGCTGTGAAAAGCACAGTGTACAAGCACAGCTATAGCAGAAAATTCTCTGCGCGCATAAATAGATCGTAGATATACTATTCTATGCACTTGAAATTCTACTCTGGATTGCTGTATATAATGGCATAAAATATACTATTTGATATATTTGTTCCTATACTCTCGCATAGAATGCATGGAGGTATTTCAAAGAGTATATGGCTAGTGTGATTTTGATACAATAACACTCGCCTGGTATATTGTAATACATATTTGCCGTCTGCACTATTTTATTACTGAGACAGGAGCTCTTTGAGATATATTCCGCTGTGAATTTGTTTTGAAGGTATTTGATATTTTATTTTTCTTAGTTCTTTATTATTCCAGTATATGAATATTTATGTTAATTTTAGTTTCTGTATATTTATTATCCGCCAGTAAGAAAATAAATAAAAGCATAGAAGAAATATAAGTCATCTTTTTCTTGTCTAAATTGAATTTAACTGAAACCCTGCACGGTCTACTAAACTACAGCATGATATATACACAATATGAATACATAAATCATATATATTGTTTGTTCTATCTGATATTGGCAGAATGTCTACTATACTATCGTAGTACAACAGAAAACAAGTAGCAACGCTGAATTACACCACTAGGAAAGACATAATACTGTGCTAAAAATAAACAATAATGCTAGTTAAAAATGTTCTAATGCTATTCGGGTTAAATCTTTATAGCCCAGAAGTCTGAAGTGTGCCATTGTATAATCTAAAGTTCTAGTGCATGGCCTATTTCGGGCTATTTCATACTATTTCAGTCTGTTTTTATTGAATTGTGCCTGGGTGCATTTTCATACCATTTCAGAATGCATTTAGTATTCAAATAATATTTCTGATTATTTACTGCTGTAGAAATACATGTTCTGTTTATTACACCATATACCAAAGTGTCTTTGTTAGCAGATATGCCCTGTCCGTGTTTGAATTTTCAATACGTATGTATTACCAGCACTGTATTCATGGACAGTCTATGCATTTTTGGTTCGCATCTATATTATGTGCTTTAGATTGTGTATGTTGTTTATTATGCCATAAATTATTCTCTTCTGCCTCTTACATTCTCTTGGTTTGAGTGTTTGCGTTTGGCTGTTTAATCCCTTTAATTCCCCTTGTTTTGCATAATAATATTCAAATGGATTAAAATTGAACTTGTTTATCCTTTGCACAGTAATTTATTTTTAAAGTGTTTATATACTCCTGCAGAGAAGTGAACACTTTGGCTATAAAAAGTAAACTATGCATAATTTATTAAAAATAAAATATTATTTATGCCTTACAATAATTAAAAATATAGTACAAAATTATAAAGCTATTGCATACACATTAAAACAGCCCAAGCTGTATCAATAAACTGTTTTAAGATAAAAAAACTGCAAATAATTGGCACATAAGACATATACAGACAGAGAATAGACCACATGAGCAGCACTATTCTTTATAAAGAAGTGTGAGGTTTTTAAAACACTTTAACAAATACTATCCACACTCTCTATACCAGTTCTATACATAAATATATAGAGTGTATTAAGAGCACTGTACGGATTTATTCTTATGTTCTTCTATTCTTCTGAAGCCTTCTATTCTTTATAGGGAGTGTGGTGTAAGTGCCGCTTAAATACAGCATTACCTGCTCTATGTACAAATATATGCACTTGTATGGCTTTTTGCCGATTCTTTAATTTCGGGTTAATTCGGGTTATACTTTGAGTATTCTAAATATTTCCTATTACAGCATAAATTAAAAACATAAATATTTTTATTTTTATTAGAATTATGAAATCAAAAATGCCAGAAATATCTAGAAATTTAAACAGACAGGAAAACACTCGGCATGCAGTAGAGAAACACTGCAAAGTGGGGCTTGAGTGCATTAGAAAGACGAGGTGTGTTATGGTCCTGCTCTTTCTATCGCTAGCATGTGCTACAAATGATTTATGTGCATTTAAAAATATGCTAAATAGAAAAGAACTAGAAATCAATCCACATGGGCCATTATCAAAGGAAAGAGGAATTCTGCACCAAGAATGCAATCACATTGAATTAAAGCAGCAGCTAGATCCAAATAGTAATTGGCACTATAAACTAGAAATTAAAAAGTTGGAGAAGCCAACTTCTAGTTCAAACTATACTATTGGCCGGAAAATCAGTCAGAAGAAATACACTATTTCACAGGCCATTAATAGCAAGCTACTATCAGACTCAGACTACAAAAAAGAATACCACGCAGTACTTCAGCACCTGTTTTCTGACAATCGGTGTATAGGCATACTGAACACGAATGTCCATCATTTTTATTCTATTCTTTCTAAGGAAGAAACTTCGAATAATCCCAAGAGCTATATGCTTTTGGCTTCTCTATTTCTTCTGTCGGAGGGGTTGAAATTGCCTCTAAGTATTAATGTGAAGGGGAAAACAAATACTGTGGCTGTTTTAGAGCCAATGAACGGTCTCAACAATTCCGCTATGTTCTGCATCGATCTGTTTCTACCCAGTAATGGTGAAGAGAAAAAGCCTGCTGATGATAAAAAGAAAAAGACACAAGATGATGATAAAAAGAAGAAAAAGCCAGCCAATGATAAGGGACAAAATTCGGCTGGCGATGAAAAGAAGGCCTCACTAGAAATGACAAAAAAAAGTGTGCATAACATAAAAGCATGTGCTGAAGAAGGTTTAATAGAAGGCTGTGCTGAATGCATTATTACTTTTTTTATAAAATACTGCGAGAAATGCAATTCAGAGCGCGAAGGATTCGCAGAACCAAACACATACCAAGATTATATGACTGGAAAGTTCATGAATGCGCCAGGCTTTCTCATACAAAACTTTGTGCACCAATACATAAAAGACGACACAGATAAACGAATGCTGTTTGCTTCTAGCGTGTACACTCTGATACAAGATTGCCTGCCACTCGAAGAGTGCCAAGACCCGAAATTAGCTAAATTGGGCGAGCAGGCAAAAAATATACTCAATAGATGTTTTATTGAAAAAAGCATCCTCAATTCAGAGCTTTTGAAGGCAAAGGAAAGGATAACAATAGACAATATAGCAAATGTAATATCTGCGGTGGGTGTTTTGAGTGACAGTACAAAGAAAAAAATACCAGATAAAATGGAGGCTAAGCAACAGATTGAGCGTATAATAGAAAAAACCCCGGGCAAAATCTTTATAGATTTTCTACTTATTGACTATGCAGCCCAGGGGTTGGAAAGTTATAAACGGGCAGATAGTAAGGATAATATAAGTTTTATTAAATCCGGGTTTGAAATCGCAAATGAATCATCACCTGATTCAGGCGGCAATCTAAAAGGGCTGGTTTACATTGGGCATCTTTTAAAGAGGCATGGCTATATAGAGGTGGTCTGTGCTCTGCTGGTCCGGGCGGCCTGCATGGATTTAGATGGCAAGCGCAGTGTGGCGGCTATTATTAGAAACCTGCTTTGGTATAGAAGCTTTAATATTGACGAAACACAAGATTTCAGTCGGCATCTTATCGTTTTGATAGATCTTTTAGGAGAGTCTAAAAAATATTTTTATTATGACAAACTTCCTAGCGACTTTGCTATACGGTTTAATGATATTGATAAAGAGAAGATAGCTCAGTCGACTGCTAGCATGTGTTCATATCTATTAAAGAAGAAATCTATGAACCTTCTGAATAGCTTCATAAAGGCATACCTTCAAAACTGGGCTCGGTTTGGCCTGCCTATTATTTCAGAGGTGTTTTTAAAGATGCCTGGCCTATTGGATAAGAAAGATTTGCTATTTCTACTAACTGAAAAAGGAATGAATATTAACTTTATTACAAAAATAGCAGAGGATATAGAAACAGAACATGGAAAGCAGGATATAGAAAAAGAGTTTATAAGACTGCGTATAAAAAGAGACTCTACAAGGCAAAATACCAATAATAGAAGACATTCATTATTTGATATACCTAAAACCGCCATTGATATGGTTAGAAGGGCGTCTGGCTATGGCTCAGATTTAATATCACAAAAAAATACTATTGCAAATATGCCCATACGTAAAAATGACTATCAATTGGTCGTGAAAAAGCTGCACCTGGTGGTTTTAAAAATAGTTATGCAATGCAAGTTTCATTTTAATGAGATCAAGGACGAAATGGTAGGCCTAGTGTCAAGCTATAGTGTTTTTAAAGAAAATGACATAGAGACAATTAAATGCAATAGAAATAATATTTTGCTTCTAAACGAAATTATACTGTTGATTAATGACGTGAAACAAAGCTTTGGCAAATTAGATGATTATGAAATATACCAGAAGCTTACAAAACTGGATAAAAACTACACAGATACGCTAAGGGCAATACAAGTTACTATCTTCAAACCCAAAATATCTAAAATCGTGGGAATGTGCGTTAGATTAATAGATGATATCAATACAAGAAAGCGCAGTGAAGAAGCCACTAAAGAAAAGGAAAGCATTAATACCGAGAATATTCAAGAAATCATCAATAAAGAAGATACTAATGAAGGTGCTGATAATAAAGCCAATGGTAAATCAGCACATATACAAAAAGTAAGTGATATTGTAGATGATATAATAAAAGGGGAAGAAAATTTGGTAGAGCCGTTAGAAGCACTGGAGATAATATATAAAGAAATAAGAGATACGAACGACATTCAAAAAGCAAAGGACGCATTGACAGGAAATAATAATAATATGGATATTTTTGCATGCATATGCAAACATATGTATAACAATACAGAAGAAATAAATGATGTGGTAGAGAAAGACCAACAACCCAGCCAAAGCTTGGATATGGCATAGTGTAGCCAGAACCCGCTGACCCATTTATAGCATTAGAACGCTTTATTTCAGGCTATACAAATAAGATGTTTCTTAGTTAAAACTAAAATTACACAAAAATACAAGTCGGTAGTTTAAATATTTGGGTACGGGGACTTTTTTGATTGAGATAGGAGACTAAATATAGACAGGCCTATCTATATACACTTCTTTCCATTGGGTAAATGTTTAATAAACATAGATTATTTAGCTGCTTCTTGTATGAGCGTGGTATGGTGTTTTGGTCTTCTCCCCCACTTTATATCCTCTTCGTACATACTAGGCACTATTAACTCAGAATTTCTTGGTAGTTATCACATCACAGTATAAATTGCTTTGCAATTTTGGGTTATATTTTGCATGTACTTTGTAGAGCATTTAAAATTATTTTGAATTATTTAAATCACATCCCCTCTATGCTATGGATGTTTGGCTATAATAATTCGGGTTATTCGGGTTTTTAATGTGATAAAGAAGTTTTTAATTTTAGTATACCCGAATGAAAATGGAAGATATAATTTTCGAGAGAACCCGCTGTTTTATACTGATAAATACTTGGAAGAAGACCTGCCTTTTGACACTTGTATTCATAGTTAGCACAATATGCGCGCGAGTATGCATGAAATCAATAGAAGAAATACATACAATGGATATTAAATGCGGCACGGTAATAAACCCAGATGGTGCACTTTCCCCAGTCCGCAGGCATGTACAGAACAGAGGCAGGCACGCGCAGAACATGCGGCAGTATTTCTCTGGAGTAGACACAAGCTTTTCTCTAAAAATAGACAGCAGCGGGGAAGACAGCGATTGCACATGCGAGTACCGCAAGAATCCAGTAAACGACAAGGCACACATTAATGTGGGCTTGCCCAAAAAAACCTGTATATACTTACAGGCATTCACGGTGCAGATGATCAACATGTTCCCCTCTGAGGAAGGGCTGCTGTCCATTGAGTCAAGCCAGTCTGACTCGTTTTATCGGTTTATGAGGGAGTATAAAAGCAAGAAAGATGCTGTGTATCTCCTTGCAGCACTGCTCCTTCTTTCAGAGGGAGTGGACATTCCGCTATATGTGGATGCCAGCACCACTAGTGAAGAGCCGTCTACAGTACTTTCTTTAAAAGCCGAAAATTGTGCAAAATTCTACATCAATCTAGAGATGTGGCTTGATAAAACAGTGGACGGGAAGAAGGTAGAGCCAGTTTACCAAAAAAAGACAGAAGATATTGTGAAGTTCTTCAAGCAGCTGAATAATCCTAGATGCAGCTTAGAGGTGCCAAGTATATTTGCAGAGACCGGTAGATACGAAGAGTTCATAACAGGGAATTTTCTGTGTAGTCCGAAATTTCTTATCCAGTCGTACTTTTTTGAGTACATAGACAGCACGGACATGTATAAAGACTTTGTAAAAGCTGTGCACACTCTGTTAGAGGAGCAAATTTCACACGCACCCAGCGAAGAAAGCGTGCAAACAGCACGTGCAAAGCGGGTGTTTTCCTGTCTTTTTGCACATAAAGCCCAGATAGAGAAAGGAGTAGAGTACATCTCTCACCTACAAAAAATAGATGCCATAAAAGATGCATATATGGTACTTCCCTTTACATGCTCTGCGCAGGTGCCCGCGCACACTAATCTTCCAGAGTACGACCGGTCAGAAGAAAGGTTCAAGTTTGGCAAATGCGTATGCTATGTCGGCCGCATGGAGTCCATCCTTCTAAGCCTTTTCTGCTGCATTGTCTTTAGCCCTGTAACAAAGAAGTACAGCACAGCCCATCTGCCAGATGCATCTCCAGGCCTAAAGCACTTCTTTTCTCAATACAGAAAGCCTAAAGAATATGCAGACTATATCATGCAGAGAGATTGGAGCAAGGTTGTCGCAGGCCTGCCTAGCGCCAGAGTCTCCTATATAAGAAAATCTCGCAATAAAATTGCCTTTGGCTTAATAAACATGCTCTATGCTATATCTGATGTAGTAGGGCAGAGCACGTGTGTTGAAGATGCAATTTTCTGCTTAAAGTGCCTTCTTTCCAAAGAAAAGCTGAGTGCTGCAGATCAGTCTGAAGTACAAAGTAGCCTGCAGAGTGTGTTTGAGTCTCTCTCAGTTAATAAGAATGTAAAGGTGAAGTGCCATGGAGTGGAAGTAAACAGCACATACAATGGGTGGAAGGATCTGTTCACTCCCAATGGCACCTGCATTGAGATTGTTTATGCGCATAATAATACCTGTGCAGGAGTGAATCTGAAAATGGAGTATGCGCATCCCACGATTACACTTGCTTCTAATATACACTTCTATCAGCCAAAGCTAAAAGCTGCTCTAACTAATATGAAGACTCGTTATTCCAGTGCAGCCACCCACACTGAGTGCATGATGTTACAATATGCAGAGGATAGCCTGCAGAGAATACAGGCGGATGATGCCACTGATTGTATGCCCGGCACTGCGATAACGGCAACTATGAATCGCGGATACAGTAACACAAATAGCTTGCTGCTCTGTAGCAGCTTGGATAACCTGGCATGCAAGTCTCGCATTGTCGAGACATTTTTAATCCACTCCAACAGAGAAAATGTAAAATGCAACAATTCCATGGCGCGGTTTACTGCCAATCTTATAGGAAGTGCTCCGCTGGATGACCGGAATGTGCGGCAGAGCATTTTAAGAGGGTGCGTGTTCAACATGAAGTACAAATATTACTATCCACAGATTAACTATGACGTGCTTGCTATGCCCAAAGCAGAGCGGCTCTCTGTACCTATGTGGATTCTGTTTGAATCAATATTTTCCCCTGGCCTGCCAAAGCACGCTACTATTAACTCATGTATATCTTTACTCTCCGTGTACAGCAACACCAGAGAGATATTCCGCGAATTTGCAAGTGAGTATGTCTGCCTGAATATTTTAAACAGGCTGTGCAAAGACTATATTTTGGATAAGCCGGGAGACTCGCTAAACAAAATAAATGCAAATAAAAAGAGGGGGGCGGCGGCACTTAGCCATATCCTCCAGACAATGAAAAGCCACATATCCGCCCAGAACAACTACACTGTGAATGATATTTACATATGCTGGCTCGTTTATGCCTGCAGTAAAAGCAAGAATTTTAGGGAGTTCATTCCGCAGATCTATATGCATATAAACCACACTGACATGTCCGACCGGTTTAAAAATATTATAGGAAAGAGGTTTTCTGACAAAGATTTTTGCAATGTTCAAAAGTTTATAGAGAAGGAGTGGAGCCTGTTTTTCAAGAAGGGCAATAAGAGGGGAAGTAAAAAGTACTGCGAAATAGAGAAATTCTTTGCAGAGTACAAAAAAGAAGGCCCCTCTAGAGCCCACGCCCACTCAAGCAGTAAAACAAAAGCCAGCGCGCACAGACCATGCACAAATAAGAGGTAGAAGTACTTTTCTCTTTGCAAAAAGTAACAAGTACTTATGGGGCTAATAAAGTATGACTACATTGTATTATCTCATATACAAGACTATTTCTAGATATTATCTAGATGGGATTTTTAGTTTAAACAGTTTATAATATCTAGCTGTGTTACGAGTATATTTAGGATTGTATTGTTTTTGGTACTTTGTTACCTTGTGCATATTGCATTGTATATAAATGCATTCAGGGTATAAAAATATTCTTGGAGCCCAGTTGATAAAAAATTAAATGCAGAAATAACACAAAAAGGTTTATATAATTGCATATATCTAAAATATAAAGATAATTAATTTCGGGCCAGCTAGAAAATGAAAGAGAAATGCGCTTTGTTTGAGTTCGCTTTGCCTGCACTCGCAAATCTCTGAAGGAGTGAGAATTGGCATTGATATAGTAGACGACCCATAGAATGCCCAAGAAAAAAGGCATGTTCTAAATAAGAAAGGAATAGACGGCGAGTTTCATGTCAACCTGAGCATGCATACATGGTGTAAAGAAGAAGTAACCAGCGATGCAGTGTTAGTGTATCAGAAGAAAACAGAGCAATTATTAAACTTCTTCAAAAACACTGCCGACTCCAAGTTTCGGCCTCCTCTATTAGAGTTCAGAATCCCAGAAACAGATGAAGAGTTCAACTCTGGCAATTTCTTGTTCACCCCGGGATTCCTCATACAGTCCTGCTTCTTTGAGTACATAAAAACTTTAGAAGCATACAATTTGTTTGTGGGTTCGGTGTATAATTTACTTTTTCATGAGCTCGGCTATCCAGAAGAGAAAGAAGAAATAGTAGAGGTGGATGAGGAGGAAGAAAACGAGAGAGAAAAGGAGGGAGAAAATGTGTGGGTTGGACCGGGAGAAGGCAGCAGCAAAATGAGCATAAATTGTTGGTATATACCAGATAAAATCGCTGAGGCTTTTTTATGTATGAGAAGAATTCAATCGGTGAGTTTCCGAGAGCAGAAATAAAAAGAATGGCACAGCTCGCATTTGACCGGCTATTCCTGTGCAAGAACTGGTACTTGTCCAAATATGTACCAAAATATGCCAATGCCATGTGCGATATTAAGTGGTTGTGGAACAATGAATACCTCATGTGCCCTCTTCTGATCAATCTAGATCTGCCTATCTATCCTCTGTGCCATCTTTTATTCGAAAAAAGAGTGTATTGATCTGGCTGGGGAGAATTATATGGAGCGCGTTTTTTTGACCTGTTCTTATGTTTTACACTAAACCACTTTACCAAAACGCACATTATCTGGCGCGCACCAGACCATGCCCCGCTACATGGTGTGTTTTTTACTATAGAATGCATTAAAGAGCCATTTGACTACTATAAAACGCTTGATTTGTGGAGCATGAATATAAGATAGCGGTTCTTCACTTACTGCATACTCTTCAAATGGATCTGTTTGTTCATATGGATATACAAGTTTACAGTGAGTTTAATTATGTTTTTAAAGTCTTCTTTTACAAATAGATAGTAGTCATGTACTCTTGCGCCAAGAATCGGCACATTTATAATTTTCTCTATAATCTCTATTGTATTAGTGGATTCAGAGAAAGTAATAGTTTCATTTTTTATTGTCATTAATAGTGTATTTTTTTACTAAGTTTTCAAAATAATCTGATTTCAAAATACTTCGATAACTATTAGTCAAACGTGACTGTTCTCTCAGCCAATTTTGGTTTATATATTTGTCCAATAATACTCCTGCAATGTCTTTAAAATTTAATTCAAACTTTCTTATAATAGATTTATATTCTAGCCCATCCTCTTCTATTTGCCTTTTTTCTTTTAATTTTCTTTCTGGCTGCTCGTTCAGTAGTGTTAGTAGTCATTTTGCTCTCATCATATTTTTGTATTGATGTCCGTAGCATATTATTTGCATAGTTAATAGCATCTTCTCGTTTACCTGCAGTTGAGTTCATAGCATGAAGAGAGTTGAATGCTTCTTCCTGTGCTTGGCGTGTGATAGTATTTAAGGAAGTTGTGCAGATACATTCCCTGGTATCATAGATGCTTTTATTAGTCCAATATTAAAATAAATTATTTCTGTTGCCAAGGGGCTATATATTAATAATTAGTTTAATAAAATATTATCTTGGTTTTAATTTGTTGGCAACAATATCTTTAAATTTATTTCTAGGATGAACAATAATATGATTATAAAGCTACTAATGATGATGTACACGATATGTGCAAGAGTTGAGTTGAGTGACATAAAGATAATAGAAAAAACCAAAATTATTAGTAAAGAAGGCAACTTGGTAATAAA